AAATTTGGAATACTCAGCAGTGGCCACAGGACTGGAAAAGGTCAGTTTTCATTCCAATCCCAAAGAAAGCCAATGCCAAAGAATGCTCAAACTGCCACACAATTGCACTCATCTCACACGCTAGCAAAGTAATGCTCAAAATTCTCCAAGCCAGGCTCCAACAGTACATGAACTATGAACTTCCAGAAGTTCAAGCTGGATTTAGAAAAGGCAGAGGAACCAGAGATCAAACTGCCAACATCCGTTAGATCACTGATAAAGCAAGAGAGTTCCAGAACAACATCTACTGCTATATTGACTGTGCTAAAGCCTTTGACTATGTAGATCACAACAAACTGTGGAAAATTTTTCAAGAGATGGGAATACCAGACCACCTCATCTGCCTCCTGAGAGATCTGTATGCAGGTCAAGAAGCCACAGGTAGAACTGGACATGGAACAAGAGACTGGTTTAAAATTGGGAAAGCAATAAGTCAAGGCTGCATATTGTCACCCTCCTTAATTTAACTTATATGGAGGGTACATCATGCAAAATGCCGGGCTGGATGAAGCACAAGCTGGAATCAAGATTGCTGGGAAAAATAACAATAACCTCAGCTTTGCAGATGACACCACCTTTATGGCAGAAAGCAGAGAAGAAGTAAAGAACCTCTTGATGAAAGTGAAAGAGGAGAGTGAAAAAGTTGGCTTAAAACTCAACATTCAGAAAACTAAGATCATGGCATCCGGTCCCATCACTTCATGGCAAATAGATGAGGAAACAATGGAAGCAGTGAGAGACTTTATTTTTGGGGGGCTCCAAAGTCACTGCAGATGGTGACTGCAGCCATGAAATTGAAAGACGCTAGCTCCTTGGAAGAAAAGCTATGATCAACCTTGATGGCATATTAAAAAAGCTGAGACATTACTTTGCTGACAAAGGTCTGTCTAGTTAATGCTGTGCTTTTCCAGTAGTCATGTATGGATGTGAGAGTTGGACCATAAAGAAAGCTGAGCGCTGAATAATTGATGCTTTTGAACTGTGGTGTTGGAGAAGACTCTTGAGAGTCCCTTGGACTGCAAGGAGATCCAACTAGTCTATCCTAAAGAAAATCAGTCCTGAATGTTCTTTGAAAGGACTGATGCTGAAGGTGAAACTCCAGTACTTTGGACACCTGTAGAACTGACTCACTAGGAAAGACCCTGATGCTGGGAAAGATTGAGGGCAGGGGGAGAATAGGATGACAGAGGATGAGATGGTTGGATGGCATCACTGACTCGATGGATATGAGTTTGAGTAAACTCCGGGAATTGGTGATGAACAGAGAAATTTGGTGTGCTGCAGTCCATGGGGTGTCAAAGAGTTGGACACAACTGAGCGACTGAACTGAACTGAACTCATCTGTCCCCTCCCACTAGATACCCAACCTAACCCCACCCCAGCCACCCACTGAATTTCCCTCTCCTCGTCACTTTTATTATATAAGCTCACCTTGTTTTATTTTCTTCATGGCCCTTTTCACTATTTAGCATGCTTTTTCATTTTGTTTGCTTGTCTTTTTTCCTCTACTAAAATATGTGTCAAATGGGAACAGGGAGAATGTTTCGGCTCAGTGTTGCATCAACAGAACTTAGAAGTTTGCTTGTATGTAGGAAGCTTGTATGTAGGAAGCATTCAACCAATAAATATTGGTTGGCTTGCTAGAGATGGGTGAATGGATTCACAAGTAAAATTCAATGCAGTGTAGCCATTTGACATTCTAGAAAATTCCAAAAGACTGAACTAGGAGAAAGCAGAGGCATGGATAGGACACCCTTGGGGAAGAAGCAGCAGCTTTTCCCCTGCCGGGACAGGGTGGACTCTAGAGGTATGGTCCAAATTTGAGATGCGTTAGCAAGATTGAGTACAGATGGGTATCTGAAGCTACAGCCTGGAGCTCTGTACAAATGAGAAAGAAGAAGAGTTCGGCCCTTGGGTGGAGCATGCAATATCTGAGATAAGCAGAGTAGATGACCAGTGGACAGTTCCAGGTGCCTTCTGGGCCCTGGAGAGCACAAGAGGAGAAAAATTGGAGCGATACTTTTGGGCAGAAACTGAGGATGAGGGGGGCTGAAGTGACTGTGGAACAGGTAGGTGTCAGCTGCTGCCACTGTAACTGCTCAGTTTGATTCCCTGCTGAGTGTTTCGGAGCTCTGCAGGGAGGTGTCAGAATGCAGTTTCCACATTCATCTTGCAGAGCAGCAACTGGTCCCTCAACCTGAAGTCTTGCCATGGCAGCTTAAAATCTGAACAAGGTCTCTGGAAGATAGAACAGTAGAGTACCCAGATTGGATCCAGGATTGAGTAGGGGCCATTGGGTTTAATGGTTCTGTGCCTCTTTTTCAGAATCTTGGACTATCATAGCTGGAAGGATCAACTAGTCCAATGATCTTATTTTTATAAATAAAAAACAGGAAGGGGAAGTCGACATTGGAGACTGAAACTCTGATTCTTCTGCTAGACTTTTTGTGCTACAAGTGATTTTACCTATTCTGTTTCCCTATCCCATGGGATACAAGTTGCTTAGGATATAAGTAAGTGTCATAGAAAACAGTTAATCATCATGTAATAAGCATGGAAATTATAATAGCTAATGTTTATTCAGTGCTTTCTGTATTCTAGACCCTATTCTCAGTGATCTGTTCTTTTTAGCTCATTTCATTTTCATGAAAAACACCGTGAGGAAGATATATTATCCCATTTCACAGGCATGGAAACTGAGCCAGAGAGATTAACTTGCCCACGCTCATACAGCTGGAGAGTGGAGGAACATATGGTTCAAAGCCTGGCTGTAGACACCCATACCTCCCATTCTTAACTGCCAGATAATGTTGCCTGTTAAAAGAAGTTGGTTAAATAAAGTTAGATTTTTTTAACTTCAAGATTTTTCAGGGCCTTTTCATGTGTATAAGGGCCAGTATGACCCTTCTAGCTGAAGAATGTAGTAAATATGTTTAAAATGTGATAGCAGGAAGACTGTCCAGAGCATTTCATAGGATTAATGCTCTCAGAACACAAATGGGGAAACAGTGTCCTGTCTGATTTCGAAAGATTTGGATGACCATGACCCACACAGCACTCACATGCGCTTCATAGCCTTGTTTATCTCTGAAAGAAGTAGTGCTGCAGATTTAGCAATGGATTGTCATAAGGCGAGTGTCTCCCTTTAGTGACTAGGTGGCTCTCCTCCTGGGCAGGGCCACCTTGCTCAGAAAGTACAACAAAAAGAAGATGTTCCGTCAGCACCCGATGGGGCACACTGGACTGGTCCAGAGCCCCAGCAGGCCCCTGGCTGAGCATTGCTTTCTGGGTCTGCCCCTGCCGCCCACTCTGTTCAGCACTGCTGGGTATTGACAGTCATGTGGCAAAGACTTCCAGTGATAGAGGGAGCCCTCTGGCTGAAGCTTCCCGAGTAATTCGGTGGTAAAAGAACCTGCCTGCCAATGCAGGAGATACGGGTTCAATCCTTGGGTCAGGAAGATCCCTTGGAGGAGGAAATGGCAACCCACTCCAGTATTCTTGCCTGAAGAGTCCCATGAACAGAGGAGCCTGGCAGGCTGCAGTCCATGGGGTCACAAAGAGTCAGACATGATAGAGACTGAGCACACACCTTTGGCCAGACTGTCTCTCTCCTAACTGATGGCTGGACTCTCGCTGACAATTCCCAAGGGCAGTCTACCATGAAAGCTGATACTCAACTGAGATCGTAGGAATGTTCCATGGCCCTGAGTGCCAAGTTGAAGAAACTCCTTCTCTTCATTCTCGCGCCTGACTTCTAATACCAGCTCCACCCACTGCTCCAGGTCATCTAATAAGTGTGAATGAGGTTTTCAAGGGTTTAGCTCTCCAGAATTGAGGCTTCTTTTTCTTCCTCAGATAAATTGCTGTATTCTACAATAATTTCAAGTATTTTCACAGACATTATCCTTTTTAAAATCCTCACAATAACTCCCATTTCAAGGAGGCAGAAGGTAAGCAGTATAGGAAACATTACGACAGCATGTAAATGCAGGACTATGTTTCACACCTAGGTCTTCTGGTTCTGAAGCTATTATGTATTCCATCCCATGGCAGTTACATCAGAGAAAGTAGCAAATGGTCTCCTTTAATGGTCTTGGGTCTCCTACATCTTATTTTTACCATATGGCAATAACAGTATCTTTTATTAATATCATCCTTTAGAGAACCACAGCCTTCAGCTATGGGAGTATTCTGAGCTGTATGGATCCTGGCAAATATGTTGAACTTCATCAAACTATAGTTTTATGTATATACTATGTGGTTGTATAAGGCGATGAAATTATGTAGAAGAGAAGAAACAAAAGAGCTTTTAGTAGAGTGTGTCTGTTACCACCTGATAGGCTTGTTCAAGGGTGTTTCCTCAGCTCTTGATGGGTTTGAAACCATACACTCTTCAGTGGGGGAAGGTGAAGCTAATGAAGCACCTTAACCAAGGGTCTTATATACTATTCCAGAGCAGGAAATTCTCAGTTCATTATATTACTTGTATGTAGTTTGGTTTTAACTTTAAGAAACCCAATGATACTTAAATGTCACCATTTCCATGATATAAAAACCATATACAGTTGACCCTTGAAAAATGTGGGATTGGGAAAAAAAAAAGAAAAATGTGGGATTGATCCGCACAATTTCTCTTATACACAGTATATTTCAATGGTAAATACCACAGCATTATGCAATCTGAGGTTGGTCAAATGCGCTGATGGAGAGGAACTGCAGATACAGAGGGCCATCTGTAAGATATACACAGATTAACCCCCACATTGTTCAAGGGTCAACTTTCTTCAACTTCTCAACTGTTCATAAATTAATAATTTTATATTACCATCCAGCTACTTCCTCAAAAAGTACCTGTTTTAATATTTGTATCAGAACAGAGGACGAAAACAAAATAACACATAAAAATTTGGTTTAGTATGGAAGTTTGAAGCTGTGGCTTAAACTTAGGAACTTTTTTTTAGATATATGCAGTCTCCAAGGGCTCCAAGAAATGGGCAGCCAGAAGCCTGAGAACTTTACAGACGAGCTGCAACAAAGGGGCTACCAAGAAGAGAAGGAGGAGTTTCTGGCTCTGTACCACTTTCTTCTTGTCTGCCTTAGACACTGCACAACGTAAATGGCCTTCTCTGTCATATGCCATGTTCACATCTAGGTAAATTATAGCTGTTAATATCTTTTACGGTAATGTTTTATTAAATGACTGTAAAAAGATAATCACCTTGATGATTAAAAAAGAAATTGGAAAATGCCAAAAAATGTAAAGGGAATTAAAATTAACATCACTGAGAATCAGCAGTACTGACCAGGTAATTCTTGTTAATGTCTCTCTCTCTATGTATATATCTTTATATACACAGAGAAAATATATTTTAGCATAAAGTTGGCCTCACTGGGGATGCTGTTACTGACAGTATTCTGCTTTTTCCTCGGTGTCATCACTGGCATGAAGACAACCTTCCTGGAGACTGTCAAGGATTCTCGGGGGCTTTATAAACAAAGATCCTGTCATTAGGTAGGAATGGAGGGGAAGGAGGCTGGGAGCCACTCCAGATATCCAAAGGTTGCTGCAGATGGAGTCAGGAGGCAGGCAGACCGTCATCAAGACCGCAGCCACCTGCTGGATGAAAGTTCCTCTGGGGATCTACGTGTACCTCCCAGAGATTCAAGAGGGTGCAGCTTGGACCTGGGTGCACCTCAGGTCCCGAGGTGTGACAGCCGCCTTTCTTTCCTGCTGACATTTTTCTCCTCAGTGGGCAGAGATAATCCCGAGTTGAGTGCCACTGTTATATTTAGGGAATCCAGGCTCAAAGGTAGTGATTACCGCTCTGGCTATTTTCAGTCTGGTTCCTTAAAACAGTCTTCTGAGAAGTGCCTCAGCAATTTGGATGTGGAAAGGCTGTTGCCTTATCCTTTCTCTCTGCCCCTGAGGGCATGCTGTGGTTTGGGGAATTAAGCAGGAACCCACAGACTGACACATTGCTGCTTCCTCTGTCTCCTCTGAACTGGCTGTTCGGCCACATTCTGGAGAAAACCTGGAGGGGCTGGGCAGGAGCCTGGAGGCTTCCCAGAGGGTCAGCCAGCCCACAGGTCTGCCACCTGCTACTTTCACGCGGATGCTGCCTGCACTGGTATTTCCTGCCACGCACCCTGCTCCTCAGAAATTCTGTCCCTTCTGAAGAGCTGGGCTTGTAGGCGAAGGGGGACAGTGTCCAGGCCTCCCGTAGTCTCACCTCATGGCTGTTACTCCAATAAGTGCCACTTGGTTGGGGAACCTGGTGGGGCGGGGTACCCTGACTTGGGCCTTATTGAGAGAAGTGTAGCCCAGAAGGTCAGTCACTCTGTCTCTTGTTTGCTTGTTTTTAATAACTTTTTCTCCCCTGACTTTGAAGGGAAAAATACATCCTGATGACAGAAAAATTTGATAATGTTTTTCATTAGCAAAGCAATATTTATTTGCAGTTTTAGCCTAAAAATGTAGAATCTTCAAATTAAACCAGGTCAGTCCTTCTGGGCCTGGCAGGGGGATAAGACCTGGCAGGGCCTGGGAGCCTCTGTGATTGGAGGGCACTCACTGTCTTGGGCTGAGTCTCTGTGAAGTAGGCATGGGAAGACCTGGAGGGCAGATGAAGTTCAACTAATTCTCTGATGAAGGGATTGTAAATGGTTTTGGTTCTAAAGAAGCTGGTTCAAGCTGAAGTCAAATGCTTCTATGAAAACCTACATGACCTCCTAGAACCAACTCCCAAAAAAGATGTCCTTTTCATTATAGGGGACTGGAATGCAAAAGTAGGAAGTCAAGAAACACCTGGAGTAACAGGCAAGTTTGGCCTTGGAGTACAGAATGAAGCAGGGCAAAGGCTAACAGTTTTGCCAAGAGAATGCACTGGTCATAGCCAACACCCACTTCCAACAACACAAGAGAACACTCTACACAATGAACATCAGCAGATGGTCAGTACTGAAGTCACATTGATTATATTCTTTGCAGCCAAAGATGGAGAAGCCCTATACAGTCAGCAAAAAACAAGATCAGGAACTGACTGTGACTCAGATCATGAACTCCTTATTGCCAAATTCAGACTTAAATTGAAGAAAGTAGGGAAAATCACTAGACCATTCTGGTATGACCTAAATCAAATCCCTTACGATTATACAGTGGAAGTGACAAATATTTTTAAGGGACTACATCTGATAGAGTGCCTGATGAACTATGGATGGAGGTTCATGACATTGTACAGGAGGCGGTGATCAAGACCATCCCCAGAAAAAGAGATGCAAAAAGGCAAAATAATTGTCTGAGGAGGCCTTACAAATAGCTGAGAAAAGAAGAGACGCTAAAGGCAAAGGAGAAAAGGAAAGATATACCTATTTGAATGCAGAGTTCCAAAAAATAGCAAGGAGAGATAAGAAAGCCTTCCTCAGAGATCATTGCAAAGAAATAGAGGAAAACAATAGAATGGGAAAGACTAGAGGTTTCTTCAAGATAATCAGAGTTATCAAGAGAACTATTTCATGCAAAGATGGGCACAATAAAGGACAAAAATGGTCTGGACCTAACAGAAGCAGAAGATATTAAGAAGAGGTGGCAAGAATACACAGAAGAACTATTCAAAAAAGATCTTCATGATGGTCTGATCACTCACCTAGAGTCAGACATTCTGGAATGCTAAGTCAAGTGGATCTTAGGGAGCATCACTATGAACAAAGCTGGTGGAGGTGATGAAATTCCAGTTTAGGTATTTCAAATCCTAAAAGGTGATGCTGGGAAAATGCTGCACTCAATATGCCAGCAGATTTGGAAAACTCATCAGTGGCCACAGGACTAGAAAAGGTGAGTTTTCATTCCAATCCCAAAGAAAGCCAATGCCAAAGAATGCTCAAACTGCCACACAATTGCACTCATTTCACATGCTAGCAAAGTAATGCTCAAAATTTTCCAAGCCAGGCTTCAATAGTACGTGAACTGTGAGCTTTCAGATGTTCAAGCTGGATTTAGAAAAGGTAAAGGAACCAGAGATCAAATTGCCAACATCCATTGGATCATCAAAAAAGCAAGAGAGTTCCAGAAAAACATCTACTTCTGCTTTATTGACTACACCAAAGCCTTTGACTGTGTGGATCACAACAAACTGTGGAAAATTTTTTAAGAGATGTGAATACAAGACCACCTGACCTGTCTCCTGAGAAATCTGCATGCAGGTCAAGAAGCAACAGTTAGAACTGGACATGCAACAACAAACTGATTCCAAATAGGAAAAGGAGTATGTCTAGGCTGCATATTGTCTCCATGCTTATTTAATTTATATGCAGAGTATATCATGAGAAATGCTGGACTGAATGAAGCACAAGCTGAAATCAAGATTCCCAGGAGAAATATCAATAACCTCAGATATGTAGATAACAACACACTTTATGGCAGAAAGCAAAGAAGAACTAAAGAGCCTCTTGAAAGTGAAAGAGGAAAGTGAAAAAGTTGGCTTAAAACTCAACATTCAGAAAACTAAGATCATGGCATCTGGTCCCATCACTTCATGGCAAATAGATGGGGAAACAATGGAAACAGTGACAGACTATTTTGGGGGGCTCCAAAATCACTGCAGATGGTGATTGCCGCCATGAAATTAAAAGACTCCTGCTCCTTGAAAGAAAAGCTGTGATCAACCTAGACAGCATATTAAAAGGCAGAAACATTACTTTGCCAACAAAGGTCCATCTAGTCAAAGCCATGGTTTTTCCAGTAGTCATGCATGGATGTGAGAGTTGGACTGTGAAGAAAGCTGAGTGTCAAAGAACTGATGCTTTTGAACTGTGGTGTTGGAGAAGACTCTTGAGAGTCCCTTGGACTGCAAGGAGATCCAACCAGTCCATACTAAAGGAGATCAGTCATAAATATTTTCACTGGAAGGACTGATGCTGAAGCTGCAATACTTGGGCCACCTGCTATGAAGAAGTGACTCATTTGAGAAGACCCTGATACTAGAAAAAATTGAAGGTGGGAGGGGAAGGGAATGACAGAGGATGAGATGGTTGGATGGCATCACCGACTGATGGCCATGTATTTGAGTATACTTCGCAAGTTGGTGATGGACAAGGAAGCCTGGCGTGCTTCAATCCATGGGGTCGCAAAGAATCAGACATGACTGATTGAACTGAACTGGTTCTAAAATGTCAGCATTTATAGGAAGCTTGTTCACAATTCAGATTTCTGAGTGAGAGCCTCAGAGATTCTGGTTCAGTAATTTGAAGGAGAGCCCAGCATCTGCATTGTAAGAAATATCCAAAGTGTCTCTGAAAAAGGTTTTCAAGAACCAAGGTGAGAAACACTTAAGTGTAATACAATATATTCCCACTGAAGTGAGAAATATACAGGAAGAAAACCTTTCTTTATGATGAACGCCTAGCTCAAATAGCTTATTTTATGCTTTTCTTCACTGTTTCTTGTTAATCTGCACATAACACAGCCCCTCACGAACGAAGTAAACTGAATCATTGTCATACAATTAGTATTTTTCCTTTTTCTATCTTTCTCTTCTGCCATGATCGTTCCCTTCCTCACCGAGATGCTTTGTAGAACCCAGGTGTCAGTTATCTCTGTGAGTCGTCCTCCTCTGCCGTTTGTGAACCTAGAATCTTCCCTCCCTCCAGGCCATGCAACCCTGGTAGCCTCTCCTGCTCATGGCAAGGCTGACTTCCTCGAACCCTGATGTTGGACACTCAGGGTCTATTCTTAGATCTGCCACCACCTGGGTTTTGTGACCCTGACCTAGCCAGGTAACCTGATTTCTGGGTTCTGGTTTCTGTGTGCAGTGAGGGTGCTGAGTTAAAAGACTAAGTTCCTTTGAAAGTAGATGCACATCTGTGTCTCTTTTTCTGTTTTGCATAATAAAAATAAATGGAAAAAAATAAAATAATGCAAAAGAAAAAAGAAATAGAAAGTAGATGCACATAGAGTCATTTTGTCTCTCCCTGCTGTTCCTAATTTATTCACTCAGACCGAACCATATAACATTATTCCCTAAAGGGACTAGGTTCTTATTTCTTTTGAACATAGGGAAATGTTTAACTGAAGGAAAGCACAGAGAAAGCCACATAATGTAGTTGTTGTTGTTGTTTTCCTCCTCTCCAAGATAATGGGGTCTCTTGTCACAGGACCTTCCTACCAGCCACAAAGAAAGGTCGTAAACAATGGGGTTAGGGTGCTGTCTGACCCCCAGCTCTTCCTGCCTGAGACACCCCGGCTTACTCCTTCATCTGAAGATGGGCAAATGCAAAACACCCTCCGGTAGACCGAGCGTCAGAGAAGAGAAGGATTGAGAGACCTGGGATGTTCCCTGCACAGCCTTTGCTCTCTGCTTCTCTCCTCTTCACCCTCCCTCAGGCTACTCCTCCTCTTGGTTTCAACTTCTGTTTCTGGTCCACATTGAAATGTTTGTGGCTTAGGAATCTTCCAGTGGTTTTGCCTTTGCATTATTTTACTTATAAGTATGGTTACTCCAAGAAAGTTTTCTAAAA